CCTGCCCACAGTACAGAGACTGTGCGTGTGAAAGTCACAAAAGACATCCTCTCTATCTGTGACCAGGGCTCCCTCTGCCTCCTTGTCCTCCAGGACCTCTCCGCCGCTTTCGACACAGTCGATCACGCCATCCTCCTCCACCGCCTTTCCTCCGTCATCCACCTCAGTGGGACCGCACTCGCCTGGTTCGAGTCCTACCTCACAAACCGCCAGCAGTACATCTGCACAAACGGCTTCTCCTCCCGCTCTCACCCGGTCACCTGCGGGGTACTTCACCTGAATTCTTGTTTTTAATTTGTCCTGTGTAAATCATTTGAGCTGTGTTAAGTGGGGGGCATGCTCCAGGTTGAAATCAGACTTGTGTTTTTCACACTCCAAATATATGGAATGTTTATGGTGTTGATAGGTGTGTGTATAGAGGATATTGTAATGTACCTGACAGTCAGTCTCAAACACAAGGTAATGGCCCCAGATGAGCAACATGTTACTTGTGCTCAGGAAAAGCTAATGGTCAAGAAGGTCCAGCAAGGTGTTCCTGTTCCTCTGGTTGTTGTGGTCTCTTGTTAGCTCCAGGATAGAAGAGATTCTCACTTTTCTGTTAGCGGCATTCCCTAGTGTAACAGAAGGATGCCTGAGGAAATGCCTCCCTACTGATGAGGGCAGACAGAGGAAGGGGGTTTGGACACCTGTATTGACAGCAACAGTGGTTTGTGCCAATCAGGGCTACATTGTTACAAAGGTCATCACTATTTGAGAGGTGGAGAACATGATCATTCAAAGCAAACTAAGCTGCGTAAAGGGGGAGTGAGATGAGTCATGTATTGCACCTGGGCCTAATTGGAGTAAATGCCCCAATTGAATGGAGATCCAAAGTAGAGCAGCATACAAACTCCTCAGTGGCAGCAACTGAGCAAGCTTATTTAAGCCACCGATTCCTATTTATGGTTGCTCCAATATGCCATTGTCTGTGATCAGGAGCACAAAAGTCATTGAGTCCATGCATTTAATTGAAACAGAAGCAGTGGTCACTTATTGGCTTCAGCATAGTGGCTGAGACCAATGATTTTAATACTGGTAATTACAAAGAACTGTATTTGCATAGGGAATCTGTTATGAAATATTTCATTTTTACCCCAATGTTCTTGTTGGAATATATGAGTTTAGGAACAGGAAGAGACCATTAAGTCAGTTGAGTTAGCTATGTCAGTTTCTTGGAACATGGCAGATCTTTTAATCTTATTTTCTCCATACCACGGAAGTCTGAATTTACTTGTTGGTAGGAATAATACTAGACTTTGAACTTGGGAAGTAAATATGCAGAAGCAACATAGACTCCGTAAATTGTGTAAGTTTACTTTATGAACTTTGTTGAGAAGCACACAAAGGATTAATTGCTCCAAGGAACATATAGTTCATTAACATTTGTCTAAGTGGATGTATATATTTCCATAATCAAACTGACTATTTGGTCTCATTGTGCTACCTCAATTATGCATCCACAAATGTGGATGTGCAATGAGAAGTAGAGATCATCCAAACAAGGCTTATGATTGGCTTTGAGATCCTTGGGCAAACGTGCATCGATCCAGAGAGTTACAGCAAGGTGATGCACAGATATCTGTGGAAATTAACCTCTTTCAAATAATAATCCTTGCATTTGATAAAGTACTTTTCATGTCTTCGAGACGTCTCAAAGCGCTTCACAGGATATACTGCAAAGTGAAGTGACTGTATATTTGTGGGCGAAACGCAGTAGCCAATTGCACACAGCAGTGTTCCACAAGCAGTCATGGATTGAAGTACCCAAATTATTATTGTTTTTTTTCTTGAGGGATTATTATCAGCTGTGTGTGTGGAGTAAGGAAACTTGCCCAAGGACTTGCTCAAATGCAATTAAAAGGAATGGAATGCAAAATACTATAGATGTCAGAAATCTAAAACAAAAACAGAAGTCATTGGGAACACTCAGCAGGTTAGGCAGCATCTATGGAGAAAGGAAAGTGAGTCAATGTTTTGGTTCCATGACCCTTCATCAGAACTGGGGCATGTTGGAAGGAAGAGGCTTTTAAGGGCTAATAGAGAGGGAGGGAGGTAGAGAAGGACGACAAAGGAGAAAATGGAGTAGAGGATAGGGGATAGATGCAATACCTGCCCTTTCACCTCCTCCCATACCAATATCCAGGGCCCCAAACACAGATTTCAAGTGAGACAACGATTTACATGTATTACTACAAATGTAGTTTACTGTATTCGCTGCTCGCGATGTTGTCTCCTCTACATTGGGAGACAAAACGCAGATTGGGCGACCGATTTGCCGAACACCTCCATTCTGTCCGCAAGCACAACCCTGAGTTTCTTGCCATTTCAACTCTCCTTCCAACTTGCACTCTGAACTCTCCATCCACAGACTCCTGTGCTGCTCCAATGAGCCACAGCGCAAGCTCAAGGAACAGCACCTCATTTATCTGCTAGGGCTCTTACAGCCCAATTGCAGAGCATAACAGCTCACATTCCCCCTCCTCCTCTTCTGTGACCATTGCCACATCATCTTGTTCCCAGACACACCTTTTCTGGTCTGCCTATTTTGTTGCAATCTTTCCCCCTCCCCCCACCTGCTTTGTTCTGCAGTATAAACACCTCTATTTCCCTGCTTTGATGCAATCCTCCCTTTGTTTTGCATCATTAACACCTCTTTAACCCATCATCCCCTGTCCCCTACCCCATTTTCTCCTTTGTCTTCCTTGCCCTGTCTCCCCCTTCTCTGTTAGTCCTTAAAAGCCTCTTTCTCACAACATGCCCCAGTTCTGATGAAGGGTCGTGGCCCCGAAACGTTGACTCACTTTCCTTTCTCCATAGATGCTGCCTGACCTGCTGAGTGTTCCCAGTAACTTCTGTTTTTGTAAAAGGAATGGCAGTCTCCCTGTCAAATGATATGGTAATAATAGTAATAATAATACTTGCATTTGATATAGCGCTTTCACGACTTCTCGACGTCTCAAAGCGCTTCACAGAATATATTGTAAAGTGAATTGACTATATATTTGTAGGCAAAATGCAGCAGCTAATTGTGCACAGCAGTGTCCTACAAACAGTTGTGGATTGAAAATGACCAATTTATTATTGTTCTGTTTTTTGGAGGGATTATTATCAGGCGTGTGGAGTAAGGAAACTTGCCCATGGTTTCGCCCTGCCTGGAATTGAACTCAGATGTCTCGCTTGCAAGGTGAGTGCTCTAACCACTGAGCTACAGGACTCCACATGGTATTTACTTTGCATGAAGTATTTTTTATGACCTGCGTGGGAAGTGAAGCTTTGAACAGGTGTGATGGTTGTGCTCAGGCTGATAAATGTATTAAAATGATGACAAATACATTGCATTACTCAGTCGCTACATTCAGCATACAAATACTGTATATGTCTAGTTCTAGTAGATAATTTTGGCCTTCAGTATTGCCTTGCAATCTTATTTGAGGCACAAAACCATGCCTATATCTATAGCCCCAAGTGATGAATTTCCATATAGCTTAACTGCAGACTTCTCAAGAAACAATACATCTGTTTTAAGGTTTGCCGTATGCACTAAGAACGTGTAGAATGGCTCAATCGAGTGCTAAGACGATTTGCAAATTTCGAGCATTGGCTCAGCATACAAGACACATGGCTTCAAAGTGATTGGATACATACAGTACTTGTATCTGTCATCCCACCAAGCCTCAACTCTGGTGGGATATGGCGATTGCTCACATTGCAGTGGTGACCCCTCGGAAACCACCTATTAATAAACCCCAACCATACTGCTGGAAAGTTTCTTCCAATATGTGTCAGGACATGTTAGTCCAAGCTGGCATTTTGCTGCCAATGCACAATACTCACAAGTGCTACAAATAAGTGACCTGGAAAGCAACTATCCTTTGTTGGGTGGTGCCCATGGAGCAACCTGAGAAGAAGGTACAATTGACAATGATGCCCCAAAAGTAGTAGCACATCTTGAAATGTCATGGTATGCATGAAAACTCTGCGGAGACAATGTTCAAGAGGAAAAATGAGCATTAAGAGAACCGTACTTCTACTTCAAGATGATCAGTGGGCTGTTCTACTCTTGCAATAGACCACTAAGGGTACTGATTGAGATGGACGCAGACAAACCCTCTTGAAGACCACAAAGTTTATATATTTATATATTGGATTGTTCACCTTTCTTCTATGAATTACTGGGCATTTAATGATTTATAGCAATGATACTGTTATGTCAATGTGACATAGGCTTTTTCCTTCTCGTCTTAGAAATGTATACAAATCTTATTACATCCATTATATAATGATTGCACAACATTTATATATTGCTAGCATGTACTGTTTTAATTCACACTTCATTATATCCTTGAACCTCTGTTGGCAATAGATTTTTAAAAAAAAAGTAGCTGTGATTTGTCAATGACTATTGCTTTCTAAAAAGGATATATAGATTGTTGCAAACTTTTGTTTTGGATGAACTACAACACTTAAATGACTGAAAGTATGAGAGCTACAAAGACATCAAGACATTAATGTTAATTCATGGTGTTTTGTGATGCCGGATGCTATCCCTCCTCACACACAACATGTGCATAATATTATGGAAGGATATTCTATATCCAGAACAGTTTGACTTTTGAAAGCCAACCTGCCCTAGGCACATCCATGTGAGCTGCTGCTAGGGCTCAAAAGCTTGTTGTACTCCTTATATTTTTTTTATAGCACACATCTCTCTTGATCCCCAGTGAAAATAGTTTATGAGGTGGTTATCTCTTCACATAAACTAAGCATTCCACAGCCACCCCAGTGCACAAAAAGCATTTATGTAGCTGCAATGCTTAAGTTAGTTCCCTAAATGTTGGCTCTCTGACATTTAGAAAAGATAAAGAAGGAATGTTCATGTAAAGTGTCAGTCCTTCTTTGATTTAACATTAGAATAGTTGCATTGCATTATCCAAATCTTTTTCTAATTGCTTCCAGCTTACCTGGTGCTGTGCTACTATCAGTTGTCTCGGTTTGGGCCTTTGATGCTGCTTCAGCTGCAGATGCCTCTGCTTGTTTCTTCTCCTTTTCTTGGTTGGAGATGACATTGGAAGATGGAGTACTTTCAGCTGCCGCACTTGTGTCACTTCCTGTTTCCTTGGCATCCTTCTCACTAGCCGTGGTCTTTTCATCTGTCGCAATGGGCGCTGCTTTCTCCACGTTTTCCGTTGCGGTCTCTTTCCCATTAGCTGAGGGGGCTGCTGCAGAACTGCTAGCTGTCTTCTCTGCCTCATGTGTTTTTGCCTCTGAACCAGGCACAGCTGCATTTGCTGCTTCTTGCTCATTTGTTTTTTTAGGGTCTTCTTTTTTCTTATCTCCCTCCACTGTCGTTGCTGCAGCTGGCTCTCCTTTCTTCTCCCCTTTAAGCTTTTTCCGTGTTATATGGCCACGAAAGCTGGCCTGGATTTTTGTGGCAGCCTTGTGGGCCTTGTCTTCAGTTTTGGGCGTATCTTGCTCTGCTTTCCCATTAGCCTCATCATTCTTCTCCACCTATCATAAAAGTCAAAGGAAAAAATGGTCATAATTCAGATAAATAATACGTGCAATTGCAGTCTTCCATATTTAAGCTTGAAGCAGTTCGGAGCGGTTTTCTGTGAAGTGCATTGACTGTATCTGACGATGAAAACAACAGCCAATTTGCACACGGTAATATCTTAGTAACAGCCATTAAGCAAATGACCAATTTTATTGGTGGGGGGCAGTAATTGGCCATGACACTGGGAGAAACTCCTTCCTCTTTTGAATAATGCCATGGGATCTTAATGTCCACATGAACAAGCAGATAGGATCTTAACAATGCAACAATCCATCAGTCCTGCATCGAAGTATGAGCTCAGGATGGGATTGAAACCACAACCCCCTAATTCAGAGTCAAGTACGCTACCGACAGACAACTAATACCCAAGATCATTAGTATTAAGTACCTAAAGCATTGTCCCAAAGCGGTCCCTGGATTATGTCCAGGTATGCAAATTATATTAAATGGAGTGGATTGGCAATCTGTGAGAATGATTACATAAGACTTTAAGAGAACAATAATAGACTGGAAATGTAGCCAGGCAAGTGTTAGCTGCAGTTTAACAATAAATACATTTGAAGTACTGTATTTTGGGTAAAATACCGTTGAAGCCCATAATAACAAACTTTATTACAATGCGACTTTGTACATAATGATTGGGGTATGGTCCCGAAAATGTCTGCAGAAAGCCAGCCTGTTCACTTTAAATTGCATTGGCACAGTTCAAAACATCAGCCAGCTACCCATAACATACAGGAAGTGACACCCGTGCCAAACTGATGCCTCAGACGTTTTGGCTCTCTGCATTAAAAATGTCCCCTTCCAGATTGTCAGGTCGCTGCTGATGTTTTGTGCATTCTGCACATCGCAGGAAGTAACATTGGCAGCAACATAATGACTCAAGTCAGCCATTTTATCACACTAAGCCAAATGGGTTTCTGTGCCCATACAATGAATAATAATCCTTCCATTTGACATAGTGCCTCATAAAAATGCCAAACCATCTCAAAGCATTTCCAGGGGACATTACAGAGGTATAAAAAACGTTAAATGGGATTGGGAAAGAAAACTCAGAATACTGTCAAAACCTCAATATAAACTCCTCTGAAAATATTACAAGTTAGTCTCAGCTATAAATTTACAAAATATGATTTAAAAATAACTAAAACTTGCACAGATTAGCAGCCAAAGTTACAAGTGCAAATTTTCCATAACAGTAAAGCTTTTATTTAAAAACATGAGTTAAATTGTGATTTGACTGGGATCAGAGGAGTTAAAAAATCTAATTTGAATATGCAACATAATGATATAAGACAGACTGGATCTTTTTGCCCTTGCCAAATTTCTCATTAACATTTAAGCACAATACTCTTCAAACTATTAATTGACATAGATTCTCTCAGAGGATTTCACTCACTAAGACTTGTAAATTGCAAAAAAAAATGAGCTATTGGTCAAAAGTGTCAACTTTCCCAATTACATATATCATCAGCATTTAGTTATGACACTGTTCCCACAAGGCTGACTAAGAATTTCACAGTCAGCTCACCAGTGTTTCACATATAGCAGACATGAGTGAGTAGTGTAAGAATGACAACCTTCTAAGAGTAATTAGTGGTGAAGAGTGTCATTAAGTATAGAAATATTACAAAGGTTTTTGTGGTTATCTATGTCTTTGAATATGATGGTTCCAGTATTGTATCATGTAAAATAGTTTTGTCTACTTTGAAAATAATGCATCTGATTTTGTATTTTGTAAAATGCCAATGATACCAGAAAATTGTATACTTTGGCCATTTATTTCTTATTAATTAATAATGGGGTCAAACATTTCAATTTAGAGAGTAATGGATAGAAAATACACAGATCAGCTGGAGGTGGATGCCCTGATGCTACCCTCAATGTCAACGTCTGAGAATTAACAACAACAACAAATTACAATTTTATAGCTCTTCTTACTTCAGGAGGATGTCCCAAGGCCCTGGCCAGTTAGGGATTTGGACCCAAGCAGGGGAATGGGATCAGGAGAGGTGGAGGATAGGGAGGGTAGAGGTAGGAGGGTGACCAAAGGCATGGTCAAAGAGTAGGGTCTTGAGACATGCCTTCAAGGAGGCAATGGAGGGAGTAAGGTGAAAGGAATGTGGGATGGAGTTCTAAAGACTGGGGGCAGAAAGGCTGAAGGCCCAACTGCCGATGGTATGGAGGGCCAGGTGGAGGACGGAGAGGTGATGATGTCTGTGGGTAGACGGGCAAGGAGGTGGAGCTGGGAGGTAAGGAGAGCAGTAGGGATGGGGTTGAGGGAGCAAGTGGTGGGTTTCATATGGGTTATAATGGTGGTGAGAGGAGAGGGAGACAAATTTGAAGGTGCAGAGGGAGAGATGAGTAGGGTCCGGAGTGTGAGGGGGCGATGAGAGACGGTAGTAGTTGGATGGGCAGAGGCAGCTGAGTGGATATCCTGGATTTTCGTCTCAAGTAAGTCCAGCATCTCCTCGCAGTTCAGGATGGACGAGGCATGAAAGAGTGGGTGGAAGAACCGGTTGGTGGTGGAGAAAGGAGCCTGGGGTTTTCCTTGGCCTCCAAGATAATCTTGGAGTAGGATGATTTAGCAGAGGCGAGGGCGGCATGGTAAATTTTAATCCAGATCTGCCGATGGACCATTAAATTAGATTTGAGCCAGTTGGGATTGGCGGCACCAACCTGTGCCTTGAGGGAGCTGAGGTGGCTGGTGTACCGGATTACTTGAGAGGAAGGTGGTTCGGGAGGTGAGAGTGGCAAGGGCATCGAGAATAGAGGCAAGAGAGTTGTGGAGGAGAGTGACCGAGTTGGATAATAATAATCCTTGCATTTGATATCGGACCTTATCATGTTTTCGAGACATCTCAAAGCGCTTCTCAGAATCCACTGTAAAGTGAATTGACTATATTTTGTGGGTGAAAAGCGTCAGCTATTTACGCACAGCAGTGTCCTACAAACAGTCGTGGATTGAAATGACCAAGTTATTATTATCTTTTTTTTGAAGGAATCAACTCCCCCGGAAATGCGATCCGCCACTCGACTAAAAACCGGGTTCCGACTAACAACAAAATCAAGATTACATTTTTATAGCGCCTTTCACATCAGGAGGACGTCCCAAGGCGCTGTAAACAGAGGAGTGTGGAGAAAGGAAACTTAGGATGAGGAGGCATTTCATATAGGTCATATGGGCGGCAACAGAAGTCAGCGGAGAATAGAGCAAGAGGGGGTGAAGTGCAGGTTGAAGTCGCCTAGGATGAGGAAGTGTTCAGAACACAGGCAGAGGGAAGCTAGAAGGATGCAGATGTCAGAGAGGAAAGTGGAGGAGGTTTGGGGGGTGGGGCGTGATAAACAAGGAAAATTTAAAGGGAAAGATTGGAGGGATGGTAAGGGTAAGGTGCTCGATAAAAATACTCAAGAGTAAAGTTGCTATTACGCTAACTGGCAGTATGAAAGCGACAATCCCCAGGGCAGCGATTCCTGCCACTACTATATCTGGATATTTCCTATTTGATACTTCAGGAATTTCCAATTTTAAATTTAAATTGGCTGAGAGATTGCAATATTGCCCATTTTAATGTCATCCAATATGTTCAAACGTGAATAAAAGGAAAGGAGTGGCATTGGGAGTTAATACCGTTTCTTTTATCACTGAGATCTTCAAATATTGCCCAGACTGAATAATAGTAATTCTTGCATTTGATATAGTGCCTTATCGCGTCTTAGAGACGTCCCAAAGAGCTTCACAGAATATACTGTAAAGTCAATTGACTATATTTTGTGGGCGAAATGTGGATGAAAGCCTCCTTTCTGCAAAGGTCCACAATTTAACGACTATGGAAAGCCTCTCAATTCAGTTGTTGATAGACGTGAGATCACAGCAACAAAGTACCAATAATTCAGCACTAATAGGCAATTTTAATCAGAGGCACAATAAGAACATGGCTCAGTGGAGAATACTTTTCTAAAATTAAGTTCAAATTACTTTGTTGGAGGTAGATGAAAAAGACTTCTACTTTAGGAGTAATGAAATAAATCCAGGACATGAAGGTAAATGACTCATGAGATGTATATTGAAGAAAATATTTATTGTATAAAAATGTTCAAGGAAATTCAGTTTCATATTGATATTTTTTTACTGATTTTACCTAAATACCTTTCTTGTGCTAAGCACTAACAGCAATTGAGGCTAAAGAAGGTAAGAAAATATACATTTAGATTCTAATTTTGTGGATTTTTCCCATGCAAAATTAACATTTGATCTAGCGCCTTTCATATCAAAGTGTTTCAAATGATTTGCTAAAGTGTAGTTACCGCATTTTTGTAGATGAATACAACAATGTCCCACAAATAAGCATGAAGTGAATAATCAATTCTATATTGAGGGATTGTTGGCGAAGACAGTGGAAAAAACTTCCTTCCTTTTCTGACTAGTGCCATTAAATCTTTAATGTTCTCCTGAACAAGCAGATGGGATGCCAGATTAACAAATCATCTCATTCAAAGGATGGCAGTGTAGTCTAGTTTGAAGTCCTGATATGGAGTATGAACCCACAACATTCTGACTTAGAGGCAAGAGTACTGATGAGACAGGCTAAAAATAGACCTACTTGACCCCAGTTTTGAATACCTAGGAGTCCATAACATAGCGTTCGGAAAAGCCACCAGAGGCTTTAGACAGGCCACCAGAGAGCTCAGCTTTACCAAATATTGTCCAAAAATAATATTAATGGCAAAGGTTTTGCTTTTAAAAGCAACATGCAATAGTAAAATTAAAGATGGCGGAGATTACATTCTGAAGTCTTGGAGGGTCAAACAAAGTCAGGTTCAGTCCAAAACCTGGTTAAGGAGAGGTTTAAAAGTCATGTTCTAACTGCTTTCTCAGTGTACTGTTCTTTGTGGATTTCTGATGTTTACAAATATTGCAATGTTGAACCCTATTGATGGAAATCTATCCACC